CCAAGACAACCACTGTATTGGGGACCAAGTTGCCAGCTCTCCTGCCAGAGCAGCAGCTGGGGAGCAGAGCAGTGGCCCTCCAAGGGGGTCACTGTGCCCTGTCCCAGCCTCTCAGCCTCCCGCAGCCACTCGGCCAGGAGCAGCACCGAGATCTCTGCACTGAGATTTTCAATTAGAGAACACAAAAGCCTGTTTAATAAACTCTTAGAGCCTCGTTAGCTGAGACATTCATTAAGATTAATGTTGGTTTGGGACCAGAGGAAACAGGGCTGGGAGTGAATGAAAGAGGGGCAGTTTCCACCCTCAGGATGATGCAAGGCTGAGTTTCCCTCCTGGAGTAGTGGATGGTATCCAGTGGGTTGCTGTGCTGGAAGGAACCTGCCTGTATTTCCCTTTTCTAGCAGAAGACAAACATTAAAAGGGGCAAAAAGCAATGTTTTTATAATTATTCCCTGTTTTCACAGCAGCTTTGCACACTCACAACCCAGGCAGGGGCAGGTTGGGAATAAACCTCCACATTTTGGTTGGAACTGGAGGATCTTTAAGATCCCTTCCAACCCAAACCATCACAAACTTCTGTGATTTGGGGCTGACAGTTTGGGTTCTGATGCTTCCCTGGTTGCTGGGAGGAAGGAGGGCAGGACTAGGAAGCCCACAAGGGTCAGGTACCCTGAACCAACATCTGGGCACCCACAAGGGCAGAGGGAAACACAATCCCTGCTTCCCTCTCGGGTTTTTACTCCTCCTGATGGATCTGGCACCCAAGTCAATGCCAGCCAAGAGTCCTCCCTGTCACAAACCCAAAACCCCGCTGAAATTCCTGTGACTGACTCCCCTTTGTTGTCCTCAGGGCCAAATTATCCTTTCTGGTGAGTCCCAGGTGGTTTTCCTGCTGCTCTGGATTTGCATGGATATAACCTGAGGCCAGGGCTTGATTAGCCATGCACTGACTGCACCACCTTTGATGGTCCAGCTAGACCCTGGTGTGTGATCAAAAGGGAGAGAAATCAAGAAAATATTCAGAAAGGAGTTAAAAAGCAAACAAAAACCCCACAACAGGAGTGGGGGGAGAGCGTCCATCCATCCATCACCATCACTGTGCAACCACAGGAGCTGTGAGAGCTCTGGTTTATTGACTGATAAATTGAAAGGTTGAGGCTCAACTGCGAACTGGTGGCCGAGGAAAGAAATGTGTTCTGCTTCGTTCTGCCATTGCAGGGAAAAAGAGGAATAAATGACATATCCCTGTTCCCAACCCCAGCCTTTGCCAGCCTGCCTGAGTGGGTAGTCCCAAGCCTGGCTCTTGGCTCACCTGAGCACCCCAGGCTTCAGCTTTCCAGTCGTTTCCCACCCCTGAATTCCAGGAGGGATCTTGATTCCCGTGGCCAAATGGCTGCACTGGATCAAAGCCCTCCTGAGCCTTCACCTGGCAGGAAACTGGGAAAGAGGGAAAGGTTGTTTTGGCCTCCTGTGATAAGGAGCATCCCTGTATTTTAGTTTGAGAGGAGGATGAGTCAGTCCAGCTTAAAAAAAACCTGCTGTGTCCTCTGCTCAGTCTGTTTAACCTCCCCTAATGCAAATTAAACCAGGCCTAATTTATTAATGTATAGATAGAGGACTTGGCAAAAACATTTCTCTGCCTTTTTCTGTCATTTTAGCAACAGAAATAACACATTTCTCCCAGCACTCTCCAATCCCTCCCTGCTGTGTTTTCACAGCACAGTCAGTCACTTATTTGCCCAACCCCCAGCTGGCAGAGAACAAAATCAGTCAATACTCCCCAGATAAGGCCTGGTTGGGTATAAAGCCCTGGCAGAATCATTCCACTGGCCGTGGAAATCCCGTGGAAAGGGCTGTTTGCCATCAGCCACCAGCTCAACCTGCCAGGGGCACGTTGGTAACTCCCCCACTGCAGGTCTCCGGTTGGAATTCTCCCGCTCTGGACTGGCAGCAAATCTCCACAAAGGCCAGGGAAAGGTAAAACCTGAGCTGGCTTGGGCTGAAAAACCTCTTAAAAAGCCAGAAGTGCCTGATTTTGAGGGCGGTTTGCAGGGAGGAGGAAAAGAAGGACTAATTTTGTTCATTTTCGTTGAAACTCAGACGAGGTTTTGAGCAGGGCAGAGTGAGATCCTGAGGGAAGAGCAGCTCCTCCTGCTCACACAGGGCTGCTCCCAGGGCAGGAAATGTGCCCAAGGATCAGAGATAGGGAGGGAAATTACAACCAGGGCTGAGTGTGATTGAGCAGGGACCCCAGCAGATAACACAGAGCAGACATCAAGGGCAGGTCTGGCTGCTCAAGGACTCAGACAGGCTCTGCCAGCCTGGGTTTTGTTCCTGTTTCAGCACTCGGGATGTCAAACAGCCTGCCTGATGCTGAATAACGAGATGCTTCTTCCTGTGCTTCAGGGAGCAATTTCCCAAGGTTTTTACCCAGATTTCATCCTCCCCTTCTGCCACTGTGCTCGAATCATCTGCACTTTGGCCATAAATTGAGGACATTGTTTCCAGCCTGCACCACACACACACACACAGAAGCCCTGGGCCCTGGCAGAGGTTGTCTGGCTCATTTACCACCCCCCTCACCCCTGCTGTGGCTGTTGAGTGTCACACAGGGGGCTCTTGGGGACACTGAGCCCTTCCCCAGGCTCAGCATCACCATCCTGGCCGTGCCCTGATGGGTGGTGGGGAGGAGGGGAACAGGTTGGACACTCCAACAAGACCCACTCTGAGGGATCAGTTCATCCTCTTTGCCCCAGGAGGGCCCCACTGAACCCCAATTTCCCTCCCAAGTCGTCCCTCTTGGAGAAGGTAATGCCAAACTGCCCATTTTTTGGAGGTTCATCGACAACAAGAGCCACCTGATTGTCCATCTAGCGCTGTGTTTTCCAGCAAAACCCCCAGCCTGGATTAGAAAAAGGACACTTGTGTCAAAGAGACACCAAACTGATGCACCAGGACCTCTCCTCGTCATAAAAAGTGAGATTTCCTGTGAGATCTTAATAAAACCGCAGTGCTGGCACTGAACATGCCCTTTGTGCTGGCACTTCCAAATCTCTCTGCCATGCAGGTGTGGGAAAAAAAGCACTGGGCTGGTTTCAGAGCTGGAAAACCGAGGGAATCAGAGCCCACCTCACACCAAACTTGCAAGGTTAAAGTTGGGAGCTGAACCAAGATCTGCGAGGCCACAAAGTCGGCACCAAAACCACTGCTTGGAGTCAGCCCTTCCCCTTCAGTTCCCCCTGTTTTTTTTTTTTTTGTGTGGGCATGGATGTCATTAAGTGAAATGTGTTTGCAAAAAACAAGAATCCCTTCTGCAACGTGCATTTATCCGTTCCCCGGGGCGTGAGCGCTGCTGAACGCTGAGGAAATAAAATTAGTGGTGATTCTTTTGGAAATTAGAAAACAAATCAGTCATTAGCCTAATGGAAAGCTCTTTTCAGTCCCACGGGTATGCTTTGCACACCCTCCTAAAGTGGTTTCTTTGGGGGTTGATGGAAAATTAATAGAAGCCAAGTCGTGCTGTAAATCAAGAGAGGAATTGGAAAGGAATTCAGAGGCTTCCGAGTTTTCTGCCTCCTGGTACCGTCCTTGCTTGCAAGGAGTTCATCCTCAGTGCTTCCTCAAGCTTTGAAATCAAGGCAAGGAGGATCCCTGGGTTGATCAGCAGGTGGGTTGTGCTTTTCAGCTTCCCTTGGGTCTTTCTGGTGGCCAGAGCATCCAAACCCAGGGGATTGGCAAAGGATGGCCCTTCCACAGCTTCTCTGGGCAACCTGTGCCACTGAAACAGGGAAGGATTCTTTCCTAATATCCCATCTAAATCTCTCCTTTTTCAGTTTAAAAGAGCTCAGCTGCTGCAGAGGATCAGGTTGGTGGTGGTCAATGCCACAGATTTACTCAGCAACTTGAATCCTCCATCCCTGTGCTCTGCAGAGCAAGTCCCCAGCGCTGCATCCATGGGGCATCCCCCTCCGTGGGAGCATTAATTATCAATTACTGCCACTTCCCAAACGAGCTGGGAGCTAAAATGGATTTTTCTAATCCTGTCAGTGGAGAAGAACTTGTGGCAAATCCACTGCAGGCAGGGAGGACATCAAGGCCTGCAGTAATTACTCCATGTGTCCCAAGGACTGATAAGGAGTTGATTAATGCCTGGAACAGGCTGATAATTCCAGAAATAATAGATAGTGTGTGACTTAATTAATCAGAGTAGACCTGGCTGTGGTGGGATTTGGAGTGAGCAGCCCTGGTGTAGGGCAGGTGTAGGGAAGGTGGGCACAGCCCACACCTCTGAGTAAACCAAGAGTAGCTACCAGTGATCCAGGGCCAGGCTCTGGGCACGTCCTGCAGTTGTGCCTCGTTGTATCAGGTGAGTTCTCGTGTTTGGGGAGTGTGAGTGTGGCAGGAATAGAACCCCTGAGTCATTAAGGGCTGGCAAAGCCCTCTGAGACCAAAACCTTCGAGCCAACCCCACCCCGACAACTCAACCACAGTCAGGAGGGGGTTGAACTTGTTTTAATTTCTGAAAACACAGTTTATACTCACGTCCAGACTGACATTCAGAACCAATAAATACACACAACAGCTGCCCAGGACTTCACAATGATCAGCACTTACAGAACAACAGAGTGGCTACATCACGTTTTCCATGTGTGCCCTTTGGGTTGGAGTGTGAAGACATCATGAATACACTGAATCCTTCCAGAAAGGTCTTCCTAATCGTGGTTTCCTTTTTTCCTCATCCTTGCTGTGTTTGGAGGATTCCTGGGCACCATGAATCTCTCGGATGGGTTCATGACAGTGAACCAACGCAGCAGGACCACCCAGCACGTCCCAGCCACGGCTCGTGGTCAGTGCTGGGGCCTTTTGTGGGTGAAACTCTGAAGGAACAGCAATTTTTCTCGTAAGAGATCCCCCTGAAGGATTCCAGAGACACTGTCTGAGCTGTTTTCTGCTCTGAGCTGCTCCCAGCAGTGCAAAGCAGCCATAAGGTAGCAAAAACTGCTCTCGGGGGGTTTTGCATCTACAGGGCAGTACAAAGCCTGGAAATCAGTTCTCCAGAGGACCCCAAAAGGGTCCCCACGTGACCCAGGTCACCACGAGAGCTCGGCCAGAGCCCAGTGCAGCCCCTGCCACTCGGAGCTGGGGGAGGGAGGGGAGTGAGGCCACTTCTAATGTACATTTGTTTCAGCCCGTGGGTCTCCACAGTTTTACCTTTGCCACGAATCCATCTCTCCTTGAGCCCCCCCACGAAGTTCTCCAGCTCTACCAGCCCTTTGCAGCGCCAGCCCCTGCCCTCAGACCTTGCTGGTCTGCATGTGGCCGTTGAATTCCACGTTCCTCTGGGTCAGCATGGACTCCTGCAGGCGGCTGCTGTTCTCCTGCCTGTGTTCCACGGGCTCCCCGTCCTCCACGCCGTTGCCCTTCTGGAGGCAAAGGACCTTCTGAAAGCTCTGCTTGAAGTTGTCGGAGAGGAAGCCGTAAAGGATGGGGTTGGCACAGCTGTTTGCATAGGACAGGACCACCATGAAGAAGTACAAGCCCACCAGCACGGGGTCTGCCGGCAGGATGAATATCAAGTTGACGATGTTCATGGTGTAAAACGGGAGCCAGCAGAGCACGAAGACCACCACGATGATCACCACCATCCTGGTCACCTTCCTCTCCGACCTCCTGCGCCTCGTGGACCCCACCCGGATCCCCGACGACTTGACCTTAATGACAATCAGCAGATAGCACAGGCAGATCACCAGGAGGGGCCCGAAGAAGCCCAGGACCGAGGTGTAGATGATGAAAGCCGCCGACCAGATGCTCACGGGCTCCGGCCAGTTCATGTTGCAGGTCTGGAAGTCCTCCTGCACGTCCGAGAAGATGATGACTGGAAGCACCACCAGGAAGGAGAATGTCCACACAGTCACACTGATGAGCTTGGCCACCCTGGGCCGCCTCCACTTGGTGGATTTGATGGGGTGAACCACGGCCAGGTACCGGTCCATGCTCATCACCGTCAGGCAGAAGATGCTCGTGAACTGGTTGATGCCGTCCACGGTCATGACCAGCCTGCACAGGAAGGAGCCGAACGGCCAGTAGGAGATGGCGTTTTGGGTGGCCAGGAAGGGCAGGCCCAGCATGAAGAGCACGTCGGCCACGGCCAGGTTGAGGATGTAGATGTTGGTGACCGTTTTCATCTTGGCGTGGCGCAGCACCACGTAAATGACCAGCGTGTTCCCGCTGAGCCCCACGGCGCACACCAGCAGGTAGCAGATGGGAATGAGCACCTTGTGGATGTACTTGAAGGAGGGCTGCTCCGGGAGCGTCCCGTTCTCCGTCAGGTTCGCCAGCAGGGAGGAGTTCCCGGCGCTGGGCCCGCCCTCCACGCCGAAGGTGTTGGAAAAGTACAAAGGATCCATAACTTCTGGTCCTCGGTTTTTTTTACTTTTAAGGTTAAAGGAGGTTAAGCTTCAGGGGCATCTTGTTCCTGGAAAGAAGATTTTCAAGAGGAAGAGAAAGAGAGAAGGAGTGAATTCGCAGCACGTTAAGTTTTACACGTCACTGAATTTCCTCTCCAGGCTCAGGGCTGTCCATGCTAAAGGACAAGGAATAATGGCTTTAAACTGAAAGGGGAGAGGTTTAGATTAGATATGGGGAAGGAATTCTTGGCTTTGAGGGTGGGGAGGCCCTGGCACAGGTTGCCCAGAGAAGCTGTGGCTGCCCCATCCCTGGAAGTGTCCAAGGCCAGGTTGGAGCAACCTGGACTAGTGGAAGGTGTCCCTGCCCATGGGGCAGGGGGTGGCACTGGATGATCTTTAAAGTCCCTTCCCCCCAAAACCTTTCTGAGATTCTGTGAAGTCCACAAGGCCACCTTTACCCTTGATTTTCTGTCTAAAAACTGACAGAGAAATGGTTCGAGTAGAATTCCGAAGGACTCTGAAGAGCACGCAGGGGTCAGGCTGGGAGCAGAGCCCTGGGTTGGTGCTGAGAGGTTGGTGCTCCCCAGGGAGCACCAGCAGTGGGGAGGTGAGGAACTAAACCCTCCATGACAACGACAACACCCCAGGGGGAAAGTCAGTGAGCTCCAAGATGGGAAGGAGTGGTGTCTGAGATCAGGATACACGGACAGGCTGCCGTGGAGAGGAACAACCTCCTTCTTTTCCATCTCTCCAGACTGTTCTTCTCTTAGTGTTTCCAATCCCTCTCCTCTCACCTGTGCTTTGTGTCCGAGAAACACCTTTATTCCACAAGAAATCCAGGCTGCAGTGGGCACTGCAGGACACAGCTGAGCAGATGGGGTGAGAGGAGAAGTTTTAATAGACACTCTGGAAGAGGCTGACAATTTCCAACGCCCTGTTTCTTGAATCACAGGAATATTTTTTCCTCTTTTTGTCCAAGTAGGTGTTTGTGAAGCGTTCCTCCAGAGAAACTTGAAAACATTTGCTCTAAAAAAAACTTGCAGATTTAAAACACGCAAGGTTTCTCTCCCCCAAGTCTCACAACAAACCTTGGTGAAGGTGCTCAAGCAGGTTGTGCTCGGCCACATCAGCTGATGGTCAGATCTCCATCACAATCTGGGGGCAGGAATCTGGATTCCAAACCACCCCCCTCCACCAGCCCACGCTGCATCCAGGCCTTCCAAACCCAAGCAAATTGTGCATCACTGCAGCACGAGAAACTTCTCGTCTGCAGGAGGGATCCAAAACACCTCCACGGCTGTTGCTGGGCTTTCTCCTCGGGTGAGAAAAGCTGCAGTGGGGGAAGAGGAGAAGTTCCCTCCAGCTCCCAGTGGTAAGCACAGACCTGCTGCTCGGATTTGGGAGTGTGCAGATGGGGAGTAGGTGTCTCACATGTCACTCCACGGCCGGGAGGAGATGCACCAGGGAAACCGGGAATCCAGGGGGGCCGGGATGGGAGGAAGAGCTCCACATCTTCTTATTCACCCCCAACCACCAAATCCAAGCAGGACAGGCTAAGCCAGAGGTGAAAAGGACCATTTTAAGATGTAAATAGTAGGGAGGGTTGTTTTTTTTTCAGGGTTTGCTTTAGGGCAGTCGTGGGAGAAGTTGAATTTGTTGTTTTTTTTGGTTTTTTTTTTTCCCCCCCTAATTTTGGCCATAAAAGAAATACATGAGCCACCTACAACGTTCTTACAGATGCTGGCTTGGAGGTGGAGATGATCTGCAAGTTCTGAATAGTTGATTTGTGTGTTTGGGCTCGGGTGCTGCAGCCATGGGCACGGTGGGAGCATCCCTGCAATCCCTGCAGGGAGAGCTCAGCCAGACCATGCTCCTTATAAATTAAATAGGACTGGATTAGTGCTCAGACAAAAAAAACTCAAACCCCAGCTCTGTCTAAGAAGAGGAGTTTGAAATGCTGTTCTGGCTCTACTTTTAAAATGTGATGTTAAATCTCAGTTTATTTGGGAGGGGGGGAGTCTGGGAGAAGCCCCAGCAGCACCACACTCCTCCTGGGCTCTGGGGCTTTGGGAAGATCCTATTTGCTTTCTGTGTGACCCAGCTGGGATGTTTGAGGGGCAGAATATAAAGGGAAAGGGTGGTGGGATGGGGTTGCTGGTGATTATAAACCCTTTTATTTCAAACTGCAGCTTCGGGACTGAGCTTGGGGCTGAGACTGGAAGAGCAGCTCGTCCTCAGCAGCCCAGACAAGCTCAGCATCACCAGGCTGGGCCAAAAAAAAAGAAAAAAACCAACAAAAACCCAAGTTTTTGAGCTGGAACTACAAAACCAAGAGGATGTGAAGAGAGCTGGAGCTCAGCAGGGGGGGATCAGAAGGTGCAGTCATGTGTGGCTCCTCCTGATGCTCTCAACAACGAGGAAGGACATCTCTCCTCTGAAGTCACCTCCTTTTTTTTTCCCCCAGCACATCTCTTTGGACTGTGGGAATGACACAGTAAGTTCCAGCCTGGTGCTCCTTCCACTGCCTTTGGAGTTCAGGCCTTGCAGGAGCAGGACAAGGAGCTCCTTTAGTTGGACACTCCCAAATTTCTTCTCAGCCTGAAGAAAACCTGCAAACACAAAGGGCCTCAGATTCCTCCAGCCATCCATGCCTGGCATCCCTGAGGCAGCCAAAGGTTTTCCTTCAAGGACTTTGTGTGTCTTCCACGTGTTTCCAGCCTCCTCCAGCAGCAGCTGTGGCATCTCCTCCTGCTGCTGTGCTGTCCCCAGGGGTCAGTGTCACTGCAGTATTTTGGGGCTCCTCTCTCAGTTTATGAACATCAACCTTTACCCTCAGGGGGTTTGTTGAATCAGAATTAAAATGTGATGAATTTCACAGTATTCCTTGTCATACTGAGGGCATTGAGAAGGGAATCACAGAATCCAGGAGTGGTTTGGGTTGGAAGGGACCTTAAAGAACATCCAGTGCCACCTCCTGCCACGGGCAGGGACACCTTCCACTGTCCCAGGTTGCTCCAACCTGGCCTTGGACGCTGCCAGGGATGGGACATCACATTTGCTGAGGGGGGAAATCCATTTGCTGAGGCTCTGATGCAAAATCTCAGGTGTTCACCTGGTGCCAGCCTGCAGGTTGGCAGCACCAGGAGGGAGTTTCCATCCCCTGAACATTCCTGTGTGAGGATGTGGTGGGTTTAAAGTCACCCAGACCCGAAAACTGAGCCCGGATCTCGAGTCTCCACTCCTTGTTTTCTCCACTCAGCCATGGAAAACCTCCCTCCTGTGTAGCCATTGGTGTTTTGGGGGTTTTTTATGATGTGGCAACAACAAAAAAACCCACCCTGGACAGCTGCAGATTATGTTTTGAGTGAGCACAGAGGATTTTTCTCACTGTCCATCTCACAACTTGCCCGATTCTACTCGGGCTCACATCGTCACTCCAGCAGTTAATGACCATAAACCTCCCCAAAGGATGACTAAATGTAATTAAGACATGCTGACTGATGCCTGATAGCCTTGTTTTGGTGTTCCTAATTAGTGGATTAATAAAACACACCCCTCCAGGGGACTTGTTCTCAGCCAGATTTTTTTTCCCTTTGGTGTTTGATCTCCAAGCCACCCCCGTGGAATAGTCCACAAATTATGTGCTTTCTGCTTAAAACACACAAAGCAGAAAGGAGATAAGGACACAGAGCCAGAGTAACCAATGACATAATCCCAAGTTCTCCTTTTGCAGGGCAGCACCCTGAAAAAAATCAGCATCCAGAGCAGCTGAACAGATCTGACTGCCCATGTCCCTGCCATAAAAAATGAGGGAAGGGATGAAAGCGGGGTTATAGCACAGCCCATTCTGCTCAGAATTTAGTGAAAATTTCTCTAGCAGGTATCCTGAATAAGTGTAATTTTGCTGGGCAAGAGAGCAAGGATCCAACAGCACAGAGCCCATCAGTGACTGAAGGTCATCACAGCCTAAGGAGGAGCAGACCTTAAAAATGCCCAGGCAGTGGAGGCTGAAATTCTCCCTGGCTGTGGTCACAACGACAAAGCAAAAATAACCCATCTGGAGTGCATTGCATGAGAGTGGAGCTGGGATCAAGCAGGAATTACAGAAAGAAACCTAATTTTATGAGTCAAGATTTGATCTCTCTGCCTATTTACTGCTGGAATCATAACTCTCTTATGCAGCATCGGCCATAATTGCTGTGAATGGAATTACAACAACAGGATGGCAAATTGCTGCTTCCAGGTGCAGGAGGACGAGGGATTACAGGCAAAATGGTAACCCAGACAGACAGGCCTTTGAAAACAGGCATTTTTAGGAGCAATGGGAAAAAAAGCAGCTGGATAACTATCCAAGAATTATGTAGGGGCAGAAGAACTTGGTGAGGTTTTCCCATCCCAGAAAGAAACCTGATTTTAGGAGTCTGAAGGCACCTGCTTCGAGTCCTGGCAATTATCACCATGTCCAGGGCCTAAACCAGGAGCTCCCTAAAAGCACAGGAATCTCACTGTTCCACAGGTAACAATCTCGCTTTCCCCTCTCCCAGGCCTCTCCCACCACCTGGGATTGGAAAGCAGAGTGAATCAGTTCAGATGGGAACTTTCCTCCCGGTGAAAATTGCCATTTGGTGTTTCTCAGGGCGTGTTTCTCACTCCAAAAAAAAACCAAACCAAACCAAAACAAAAAACCCCAGAGGGATTGATTTTTTTCTCCACAGAACACACAACAAACCAACTGTCTCGCCCTAAATTGCTGCTCTGTTTGGATTAACTGGATTGGTACTAAGCACTGATCAGCTGAAGGCACAGTTGAATAATTTCTTACCACTTCTAGCCCTTGGAAAAAAATCTTTAAAAACCACATTTTCGAGCTGACAACACCTTGTTACCCCCCTGCTCACCCCAGCCCAGTGTTTCCTAGAGAACCCTGAAGAGCCATGACTGGGTAACTTGCTCCCATTTTTAGTCTGCAAACAAACAGCCCCTAAAACAATTTTGGCTTCTGCCAAATATTTGCTGAACACTTTCTTTCCCCGAGCACACCCCGGGCTCTGTTTTGCTCAGGGATTACTCACTTGGGCTGAGCTGGTCCTGCCACACAGACAGTCCTGTAAATCACAGGTTTGTAAATCTGGGTTTGCTCCCAGATTTTTCAGCAGCTTCAGGCAGAGGAAGGTGTGGAGCCCATCCCTTTGTGCTCTCACTGGGCTGGGATGAGGCTCCAAAATCCATCTCCAGCCCTGCTCCATCACCATCAACAGGGGTTTGTACCAAAATGCTTCTTTCCCACCCTCTCCTCTGTAATCCAGCTCCTCCAAATCCAAGCCTCAGCTGGTTTTTCAGGGACATGAGAGGTTCAAAGGCAGGGCAGTTGAGGAGCACTGGCTACAGGCTGTATCTGCTTCCAGGCTGAGGGAGAGCTGGAACAGCCACGGATCCCTTTGGCTCAAGGAGAGCCCCAGGCTGGAAGGAGCTCTGGAACAGCTTCTCTTGCTGTAAGAAGTGGAGCAACTCCAGGAGAGGAGCCCCGAGGAGGAACTTCCGAGGTGTGGGGTCTCTGGTTTGGATACCCCCCACACCAGCAGAGCAGATCCACCTAGCCCCGGTGCCAGTGTCCCCAGGAGCTGGCATTTCCCACATCAGCACTCCCAGACTGATCCCAAGCACACTGAGAACCGGCTGACTGGTGCGACCTGCACGTCTCCTCCCCCTCCAAAAACTCCACAACGAGTCTCTAGTTCAGCCCAACACAACCTGCAAGTCCAAAACACCCGAGCCCGGGGTGTTCTCTCCCTGCTCTTCAGCGCAGAGGTCTGGGCTGTGCCCGGATCTGTGGATTTTGGGAGCCAGCACAGGGACACGGGGAGCTGCTCCCAGCCCGGAGCAGTGCTGACCCCCGAAAGCTCCACTTCGATCTTGACATCCACTCCCTCCTGACCGCCCTGGAGCAATTCCAGCCCCCTGCATTTCCCTCTTGTGTTTGATCGGAGAGGAGCATCCTGCGCCGGCCCCCGGCGGCTGGCTGAGCCCCATCCCTGCTGGCCGGGCACATCCAGGGGTTTTTCCACCTTTTTTAGGGCGGACAGCACCGATCTGTGCCTGCACATCCCTCCCGCAGGTGCCTTTCTCATCCCTTTCGAGCTTCAAAGCCAGTCCTGCTTCAAGAGCCGCGTCCTCCGCAAGGCAGCGGGACCCTCCCCGGCGTCCCCCCAGCCAGGACGGGGTCACCTCCCTCTCCCCCACCATCCCCCCAGCCAGGACGGGGTCACTCCGCACGGAAAGCCCCCTCAGAAGGGCAAGCCCGGGCCCGATGGCTCCGGTGCTTCATTCACCCCCAGCGAGCCCCCAAAAGCCACCCCTCGCCTGCCCCAACGCCATCCTCCCTCCTCTCCCCCCATCGATCCCTGCCGGCTCCCCCAGCCCCGCTCGCCTTTCCCGTGTCCCCCGGGGGTGGTTACCTGCAGCTGCAGGGGCTCCTCTCCCCTCTGGAAGCAGGATGCTCCGGCTCCCCCCGCAGAGCCGTGGCTGGAGCCCCGCTCCGGGAGCGCTCCCCGCGCGTCCCTGCGGCGGCGGGCGGGGACGGGGCCGCTCCCCCCACCCCGGGGAGGAGGGACGGGGTTCCCGGGGAGGAGGGACGGGGCTCCCGGCCGGGGGAACAGCGGCCCTGGGGCCAATCCTTGGCCGGGAACTTGGGCGGGAGAGAGCGGGAGGCAGGAGCGCTCCGCCGGGATGCTCTGCCCGCGGATCCCCCCCGCGCGTCCGTGCCCACCTCCGCGTGCCTGTGCCCCCTTCACCACATCCGTGCCCCCCTCCCCAGTCCCAGGGATGCCCTTACCTGGCTCTGCCGCTCCCGCCGCTCTGCCCCGACCCCGCACCTCGGGGGTCGCAGCCCCCCCAACTTCCACGGTGCGGGGTCCGCGCAGCTCCCGGGAGGGGCCGGAGCCCCCACTGCCCGCCGAGGGGGCAGACCCGCATTTCCTCCCCTGCCTGAGCTCCTTCCAGCCCCGACAAGTCCTTTTAAAGGCTCCCGCGGGCTGGTCCTCGGCGAGCCCCCTCCCCGAGCGCCGGGACTCGCTGCTGCTCCCCCAAAAAACCCGGCACGCGAGCCCGCGGGCTCCTCCGGGGGCAGCGACGAGGATCTGACATCTTCGGCACGGTTATTTGATGCTCCCGTGCCGGAGCAGAAGGGGAAGACGGAGTGCCAGGGTCGCCCTCGCATCCTGCCTCTCCATGGAGAGCTGCGATCCCGTGTGGGGAGGTTTGACTCCAGCTGGCTGCGAGTCAGACCCTAAAATTACTGCCTAGTGGAAAGATAAGGGCTTCTCATCCAGGCTGTGCTGGATTTACTCCCTTCTAACCTCCCTGGGGTCCTGCTGGGCAGGAAGAGGGTGAAATATTTGGAATTTTGAGCATTTTGAAAGGCAACAAGTGGAATAAAAGTCGTGCAGAGCTCTCCCCCCTCCAGCCGGCACCCTCCCTCCCCCTCCCCCGCTATTACATCTGTAAACATCAGCACCAGCGGCACTTACACTGCTCAGCTCCCTCACTCGTGAGGGGGATCAGAGCTGGGTGGTTACAGAGCTCAGGGCTCCCCAGCCCTGCCAGACACTCATCAGCATTCCCGGGGCATCGTGCTTCCTAATAATGGATATGAACTTCATCCACCGCCGAGGCTTTTCAATTAGAGACCTGTGATTGAGTCAGACGTGTGAAGGCAAGAAAAAAAGAAAAAAAAAAGCTGCTTTTGGCATGTCAGCCTGTAATTCAATCTGCTGATGTATTTATGGTCATGTATTGCTAAATTGAACTAAGACTCCGGTCCTCTCTCTCGCCATGACAATGGGGAGAGTCATCCGATAAAAATAGAGTTGGGCTGATAAACAGAAAAGGAAGAGGAGATTTTGGTCACCTTCCTTGGAAACACGCCAAGCAAAATGGGAGTGCAACGACCCCACTGGGAATATCAGCTTGAATCAGAAGGGGGTTAATTTAAGAGTTGCCCTCCTATACTTTATTAGCATTTTATTAGCATTTATGAGACACGAAACGCTGCTGAGAAAACATGGTGGTCCCTAAGGTTCCCTGAAGGAAGCAGCACTTTTGCTTCCAAGTAAACAGCTTGGAAAAAGTAATTTTTCCAGGGTCTGTGCTGGGATAGAGGCAGGATTTTCCAGAGCTTTCAAGGCTTGTTGGATTCTTTACCCACTCAAGTCAACGGCTGATTGAAGGGAACAAAAAGGCAATCTGAGAGCACTCCCTGTCACGGTGCTTTTAGTGACTGGTGTCCTGGCAGGGGGCAAAGAGCAGCACAATCCCATGCCATGTGCTCTGGGATGATCCTGGAGCAGGGAGGTGGGACCAGTGACCCACCAGAGTCCCTTCCAACCCGCCCCATCCTGTGAAACCCCCTCTGAAACAGCCCTAACTCGGGCACAGATGTCTTTGCCTCCCCAGTCCTTGTCACACACAGAAATTCCCTGTCCCAGCATGACCCCTGAATGGAGCTTTTCCTGCAGGAAGGGTGAATGGTGATGCAAGTGCTGACACACTCATGGGGGTCACCCAGTTTAAACCAGTGCACGTGTGACATGGGGGAAGTGAGAGCTCCCCGGGGAGCTGTGGGGAACAGGATCCTTGGGAAGCTCCTCCTGCCTTGTCAAAATGCAGCTGAAGCAGAAAGGAGGAGCTGTGACCAATATTTTTAGAAGGAATTTAGAACTCCTGGGGAACTTGTGTCAACAGCCTCTCCTGGTGAACCTGGCAGCGAGGAACAGGCACTGAGTGCTGCTGAGAGAGGAATTAGGAGTGTGAGAGAGATCTGGGGCCAAGCCTGGCTTGGACTGGGGGGAAGTGCTGAAATTCGAGGTCCTTGAGTTGGATTTCCTCTGATTAGAGGGGCTGGAGTAGCACAATCAAGATACTTTTTAATCTCAGAAGAACAGGGAAAGTGAGAAGGAGCAGAGGACGTTTGGTTTGGAGTAATTGCTGCAAAAACTGATGGTGTGCAAAGGATTAGACCCAGAATTTCTCACAAGCACAAGAGGAATAAGGTCAAACCCAAAGAAATCAGTCTTGGGAACCAGGCAAATCCACAGAACTTTGCCAGGCTGGAAATGGAGTCCTTGGTGCTTCCAGATCTTCCCAAGCAGCGAAGGAGAAGCTTTAATTTTAAAAAATGGGGAGTCCAAGGCACTGACAAAGAGGGAGTTGTGTTCATTCCCACGGGCCTTCCCAAAGTACAGGATGGATGGATGGCCTTGGGAAGGTGCCCATCCCAGCAGACAGAGCTTCCAGCACAGCAAGCGAAGCTGTGGCTCCCAAAACTCAGCTCCAGCCTTTGCCTGAAGGTTTCTCTCAGGATTTTAAACAGGTTTGCTTTCTCTTTTCCACTCTGAGAAAAAAAAAAAAAAGAAAAAGAAAAAAGAGAGATGTAGAGGGTAAGAGCTCTGAGTTGTTGTTTTTAAAATCACGTCCTGGAGTTTGCTGGGTGAGAGTGGCTGCTCCTCACTTGGAGGAGCTCTCAAATCCAGCTGAGATTTGGGTTCCACTGTAGCCCTGAGTTATTCCTGTTACCATAGAAATAAATGGATGTGTTTTCTGCCTCAGACCCCGCTGCCTGCAGATATCCATCATCTCTGCTCCTCACCAGCCCTGGCCACGGGATCCATGAGCTTCCAGGTTCTGCTTCTCCCCGGGAACTCCACATGCAGCAAGGACTTTTATTTCTCCTTTTATTTTATATATTTTTTTAAAAATGACTGGCTGGTGTTCAGCTCACAGAAAACATGCTTCTGCCTGGGAGACAGTGACTCCATCCAGTGACATTCCCAGTTTGGCTGGAGCCGACTGTTGTCACTCTGCCTGTGGAACACGCCGGGAAAACACAGGCAGTGGGAATCACAGGGAGGCTGAGATGTTTTCCCTTCTCTTTGTTCTCCTCCTTCTGGAGGAAGGGAAAATCAATGCACTTGCGAATCAGTGCATTAAAAAGCTCTCAAATGGGCTGTAATTACAGGCCCATCTGTTGTCAAATTGTTGAATTGCCGGCGGCAGAAAATGAGGGAAGATCTTCCCACTCGGTCATCGCTGAGCGGCCCTGGGGTCACTCCCACGGGAGGCACAGGCAGCCTGCTCTGGTTTTGGAATCCTTCTTGGAGGAGAAGGAGCTGGATTCACTCACCCCTGCCTGGATGAACCCTGGCTTGGCTGTTGCAGCTTGGCTGGGAGAGGAAATTGCTTTTCTTGGAGCACATCAGGACGAGTAGAGGGATGGAACCCTTGAAAGGATGGGAGAGCTGGGATTGTTCATCCTAGAGAGTGAGCTGATTGTGGCCTTGCAGCAGGGGGTGGAATGAGATGATATTTAAAATCCCTTCCAACCCAAACCATTCCAGGATTCTGTGATCCCACGATCTAGAGTGGGAGAGCTCCTGCACCCCCTGCACCCAACACCCCATTATCCAAATATCTCATGGCCACTGGATGCCCAGATGACTTTTGCCCTTCAGACAGGTGTTACTGAAAATATCCAACCTGGTGGCAGCCCCAAACCCAACCAGCTGAGCCCAGGAAGGAGCCCTTGGCCCAGGGCTCAGCTTTATCCCCCTGCCTGTGTTTGCACAGAACCCAAAATGAGCTGAGAAGGAAAAGATTTCTCCTCGTTATTTTGTTTCCAGGACAAAAGACAGTTTGGATTTTTTTTTTTTCATTTCCATTTCCTTGCCAGTTTTCAAGGCCAGGTTGGACTCGTGGAAGGTGTCCCTGCCCGTGGCAGTCCTTTCCCATCTGCAGGATAACACGACTGAGGCTGTTTTCTGCCTTCCTTCCCATGGCTGTGCCAGCACTTCAGCTGCCTCCTGATGGAAATAACCCCCAGCCTTTGGTCCTGTTCAGAAATTAAGTCTGCAGACACATCCACTTCAATTTAATGCTTCGCTCTTAATGAGAAGCAGATGCAAAAAAAAAAAAAAAAAAAAGAAAAAAAAAAAAAAAAAAAAAAAAAAAAAAAAAAAAAAAAAAAAAGGAAAAAAAAAGAAAAAAAAGAGGAAATATTAAAAACAACCTCCATGTGCCAATTTGGGGAACAAAATAACCTTGTTATTAAATCCAACAGCCAAATTCACTCCAGCACTGAAGTGAACCCATCTCATTAGCAGACTTGCTGCTGCTGTTGGTAAGTGCTTGGTAATGGGTGGGCTGCACCTTTTTTGGGTTCTCTCTGGCACTTTGCATGTCTTGCATGAAGAGCAAACATTGCACAGGGGTTTTTATCGGCTCCAGTGCCTTGTACTTGAAATATTTCCATTCACTCCTTTGAAATGCTCCATCAATACTGATTTAATTCCAGTCCCCAGGGAGCTTTATGCCCATTTTACAGGCACACTCTGTTCTGTGAAGCATCTACAGTGAGCTGATAACAACACTGAAAAGGAGAACTGATATCTTTCCTCATGTTAACAAAACCCAGCTCTTTATCCCCCAAAAAAAAGCTTTATTCCAGTGACCAGCAAGTTTCACTTGAGCATTTTCACAAAATGATGCTTTCCCAAAGAAACATTTAAAAAGGATTTATTTAGTTTTTATTTGCTTCTGTGCAGTCAGAAACCTTTACCTTCGTGGGAAATTGGACAGCCCTATCGATTTCTGGTGAGTTTTTGCGTTGATTCTGGCAACCAAACCTGGTTCCTGCAGCTCTCACCTCTCTGTTTTCTGCTTCAGGGAATCAAAAATGCTCTCATTGGGTGGACTGGGAAATAAAAGTGGGTAGAGCTGGATATATTTGTGTTGTTAACGTCACCCTTCAAACCAGGACTTAGGCTGGAGATTCCTTTGGAGTGATGCATCCCATAAGTACCCAAAACTCCCCTTTTAAGCACACCCAGCAGTGCATCAGCTGAGGTTATTCCTGCTGAAAATGCCCAAGAGGGCAGGGTTTAATCTTGATTTTCAGAACACCTCTGATTTTTTGAGGCCCTGGCTGTGGCTGCCCCATCCCTGGAAGTGTCCACGGCCACTTTGGAGCAACCTGGGCTAGTGGAAGGTGTGGAGCAGGGGTGGAGCTGGCTGAATTTAAGGTCCTTCCCAACCCAAACAATTCCACAATTCTATGATTTAAGCC